CTTTCAAAATGTAAGTTGAGAATGAATTAGTTGCAATGCAATTTTTTTTAAAAAAATTAGTTCAACTTCATTTTACTATACACGATTGACTTTTTAAAGGAAAAACTACGGAAATGTCCGACATTGTATCTTTTCTTTCTTTTTCTTCTTCTTTTCGTACTTCCTTTAAGAAAATGCTTATTTTTGTTATACCTTTCTAGAAGAGAATGTGAATATATATATTTAAGTTAAATTTTAACAATAAGATAAACAAGGTTTTAAGTCAATTCCTACTTAGGTCAACAAAGAAAAATTCTATTTTATATATAGTTACTTTATCAAATAATTACAATTAATATAAATATGTATATACATATGACATAATCACAATATTAAGTGATAAAATAGAAAGTGGTTTTCCTTGCAATTTTCCATTTTCCTTTCTATATAGGGTGTTGGACTATTTTTTTTTGTTTGCTCTACTATTTATTAATTAATTAAATTTAATTATTCTAATAAAATAATTTAGTGAAAAAGAAACCATTTTCTCAGAAATTAAGCCGTCACAGGTGAGATTCGAACCCACGCCCTTTGGATTAGAAGTCCAACGCTCTAACTATTGCGCTACAGAGACACAACGAGCGATTTTTTTATTTCTATATATGCTGTTGGACTGTTATTTTGCTTGTGCCTATTTATTAATTTTTTAATTTAATTAATGAATTAATATTTGAAAAAAACTGTATTTAAACATCAAGTGTCATCCGCTGCAAGTTTAAAAAAGTGGATTTGAACTTGAATGGATCAATAAAAAGTATTGGGTGTATATATACAGTCGCACACCATTTGATGCACGGACCGGTCTGCAGCCCGAGGGTTGGGGATCACTAATGTAACTGAATTGTTTATAATAACGTTGATGGAATGGGGGCAGGAGTGGGACTATCACAGTGATGTATGCCATGTAATCAATGTTTCGCACATATAACACCTGTTAAGTGTGTAAATAAAACATGAATTGTTTCTGTATTCTTTCAAATCTTCATTTTTGCTGTTTTCGTCTTAGTTTTTTACTATAGAGCTTCGAAACCCGGAAGGGAATTTTGAATCACCCTAAATTTTCTTTCTCTATCTGACTTGTATGAGTATCTTTTAATTTTTGAACTCCAGAAATGTTAAAATTAGGGAAAAATAAAATTAGACCTCATAAAACACGACAACGGATATTCGAACTATCAGTTTTCAAGCTAATTTAAAATTGAGGCTGGAAAAATATTTTAAATTAATATTTTATATGGATTTTTTAATTCAAGAGAAAAATTAACTTACGCTTAAGAAATATAATATAAGCAATATTAAGCAAAGTAAAATAATTTCTTTTTATTCTATATGTTACCGTTAAGGTATCCGACTACGTTCGGAACCGTGATTTTGCAAAAGCGTAAAAATGGATAATATTTATGATATTTAGTGTCACTTAGATTAGAAAATGTATATAAAATTATTTTAAGAATATTACTACACAAAAATTATTTAAGTACAATATTTTGACAAAAAATGAACATAGAATGACCCATTTTCAAAATATTCTCCTTTTGTGAAAAATGCTTCTATTATAATAATATTTTGCCTGTACATAGCTCAGACCTCTATACAGAGGCTGAACTAGAATTTTTGCAATATATAACTTAGAATTGGGTTTATCCATGTTTTACGACAACAGAGGGGAGAAATTTTAAGAAAAAACCGCCGATTATTTCAATTGGTTGTAATTCTGAAAATAATGTGTATTTT